GCGGGGCGGGGGGGGGCGGGGCGGGACGGGGCGGGACAGGCCCGGCCATTGGCTGCCGGAGGTCCTCGACCCGCCCACGTCCTTCTGGCTCTAGCTGTGGCGGGAGGACGAGCCCCCCCTGCGCGGAGCATCCTGCTGGGAACCGGATGCGTGGCGCGCCCCGCCGAGCCTTGGCCCTGGTGGATCTGGTTCTCTCAGGCCGAGGGGCCTCCCTCTTCCCGGTTACTCCGCGGCTGGGTTACAGCCCTGAGATTCACCTAGTCCCGTATGAGTTCGTGGTCTGTGTCCTGCTAAACCGTAAGCTTAAAGAGAAGCCAAGACCACCTCTTGTTCAAACAAGTTCACCCCCGTGGCCCCTACTAAATCTGGAAGGACCCCCCTCTTTTCCTTATGCTCCCTGTTCATTCATTTGCAGTGTTCAATATGTAGATTGTCACCAGCCGGGGTGGGGGTGGGGGGATGGTGAGGTGGGCCACCATAAGCATTCCCAAGGTGACAGACTCAAACTAGCCAAATAAGTGGAATAAAATTAGAGTATATGCTAAAATGAGAGCTTCTATTACTGTTCTAAGTGTTTACCATCTATTAAAAATTTAACTCTCAAAATATCTTTTATCATCCCCAAATTACAGATGGGGGAACAGACATGTTGAGTAACTTTCCCAGGGTAACAGAGCAACTAGCAAGTGATGGATCTGGGATTTGAATCCAAGCAGTCTGAAAGCAGAACCCCTCAAAAACTATACTACATTGCCTTTCCTCAGGTGTGGGGTTGGGGCAGGAAGGGAACCAAAAAATAGGCCACATTTGATTAGTCAAGATAGGCATCTCTAGCGAGGTTGAAGGTCTACAGGCAGAAAGAACAGCTTGCCTAGAGCCCTAAGGTAGAACAGGAAAGGGCTTGACCTGCTTAAGCACCCAAAAGTGTAAATGGGACTTAAGGATATAGGAACAGAATGGCCTGAGATGAAGGTGCCTTGGGACCAGACCACACAGGAGGCCCTGATAAAGCTTGTAGTTTATGCTAAGAATGATGGAAAGCTGTTCAAGTGTTTTATAACAGGGGAATGATAGGATCTGATATAGGGTATGGTTTAGAATGTGATTAAGGTGATTTTCATGGAAAGAAGAAATTGAATAAAATTTAGCAATAAATCCTAGCAGCCAGCCACCACCTTGCAGATATTCATAGAATCCTGTTAAAATGGGAAGGGGGATACCAGTTTACTGTCCCTTTGCCTTTCTTATCTCAGAGTCTTCCAAACACACCTCTAGTCTGAATTTGTTCTTTTTACAACCCCCTGGGACAGCTGAGAGATATTACCTTTCCTTTAACTACGGCAATGAATGTGGCCAAGCTACATGGGAAGAATGTTAGAACAGAGAAGTACATCTCTTCAGTAAAGAGAATAATGCAGGAATTCAGAGGCAACCTAGCGGGGGTTGAGGTAGTTGTGCAATGTCTCCCCCCAAAATCAGGTGATAAAAATGGAAAGAGGTTATGAAAGAATTGTATTTTATGTTTAAATTGAACTCAGGAGAAATCTTCAATCTGAAGGCTTTATACCTCTGGCCAAGTAACTCAATTTGAAGGACATGACAACCTTAGTTCATTTGAAATGGTAAAACTGTTCCCTTGGCTTAGAGGAGAAATGTCTTCCCAACTTAAAAAATATATATACTTAATTAAAATTAAACATAGAGATGATGGAGCGAAATAAACCCATTGTATACCTGCTTTTGAATTCAAGATAATCCATATTTGGTGTTTAAAATGCTTGTAATACAGTTCAAAGGGAATTGAATCAATTGGGTTTATTATTTGGCCTGATTATTTGAAAGAAATTAGTGTAAACAACTTGAGAAAATTCAGTCTGTCCAAATTAACCTGTCAGAATTTGAACAAAGGGATGTAGAGGAATAAGGATACAGGTGGAAAGGCACAGGAGACCTGCTGACAGTCCTGATGGGGATGTAATGTCTTCATAGTCCCCCAAATTCCCAGCTTGGTAAACAGGTACATCTCGCCCTGACCACCATTAACCTCTCCCCCACCCCCACCCCCCAGGCTCTGGGCTCCATCCCTCCAGCCTCCTCAGACCCCACACTATTCATATTTCCCTCTCTCTGTCTCTTCTCACTTCTTCTCCCTGGCTTTTAGCTCCTCTGTGTATATATATTTTATCTCTCATCCTGAATAAACCTTCCCTCCACCAAATGCTCTGCAGTTCCCAGATACAACACATGCTCTTCCCTTCCTAACGAATCTTCAGACATTTCACCATCACCTCAGCCCCATTCACTCTTCAGGCCAGCACAGTCTGACTTTCTTCCTCCCTATTTCCGTGAAATTCTGCTCTCCAAGGTCACTAGTGACCTCCTAGTGGCCAAATCCAGTGGTCCCTATCTTACTAGCCTCTCTGGTGTTTGACACAATCAGCCACTTCCTCCTTGGCTCCTTCTTCCCTCTGCGTTTCTGGGTCTCCTCTCCTCCCTGCTTTTCCTCTAACACCTGTGGCCCACCCTTCATACTCTGTTGTCCTACCCTTCAAGTGCTGGTTCTGGCTCCATTCTTTCTCAACCGTCCTCTTCTTTTACTCTGTACACTGTTGGACCAACTTTCCAGGTATGAAAATAATTAAAGTCATTTACTGAGTGCCAGATACTTTACATATGTTATCTCTAATTCTTAAAACAATTCTACAAGGGAAATAAGAATATTAGCAGCATTGAATAAGCACTCATGAGCCAGTCATAGTATTCAACCCTTTACATAAAAATACTATGATCATCACTTTAAAGATTACAAATTAAGGCCAAGAAAGCCTGAGTGACTTTCCAGAACCACACAACTCATGGCAGAACCAGAATTCCAATCCTGGCCCCCATCCTGCCTGCTTTCAAGAAGCATTGCATGTACTGTTCTCTTTGTTTGGACTGTCTGTCACCTCTCCTTTGCTCCTTAACTCTTACTTATCACCTCAAGACCTAGCATCTACAATCACAGCTTGTTGTTAATACAGTTATCCAGAGGGCAGGGGATGAAGGTTGTGGAGGAAGGAGTGAAAGGGATAGAGAAAATGTCTATGATAAAACCACATGTATCTTGTAATCCCAAGTAGCTACATATATATGAATGTAGTTATATATATATACTATGTAGGTATATATGTATGTGTGTGCATGTATAGCCTGTGTGTGAAAAGATGTTAGTGGGAGTTTCCTCAAGGTAGTGGGATTTCATGTGCCTTTTACATTTCTTTATATTTTTGAGGTATCATTCAAATTCTTGAAAATAAGCACATATTATTTATATAATCACTTTCATTACAGAAAACAAAATAAAGGCTATTTTAGCCTTTTGTAAGAAATTGCAAGAACATGATATGTGAATAAAGTATAGTGCTTTACAAGAAAGAAGAGCCCACACCTCCCACAGTTAGAGACACACCCTTGTCCGTAACACAAGAGCAGGCAGCAGCTGTGGCATTGGCAACTACTGACCTGAAAGCAGCAGAAGAAAACAGAATGATCTCTCTCGTGATGCCTTCACTGTTCTCTCCTGTGTCTACCCTCCCACCCCAACAAACATGACCCTACACAAGGATGTAACCTCCTCTCCATCCCCTGCCTGAGTTCCTAGCTATGCTTGGAGTCCGAAAGGGGGTCTTAGGGTCTTAGGCATACTCAGAGGGTCATATAGAATCACTACAGGCATCTAGAGAAGTATTTGGGTACATTGAGTGACTTGGTAGCATCTTATTTGGCCCTAAGCATCAAGGATTTGTTCTATCAAATGTCCTATTAAGAACAAGTGTTTTTGTATATTGGCTATTATTTTTCTTTCTTTTATAAGTTTTGGCAATTTTTTTCTTCACTGAAAAAAATGTGACAATTACCTAGAGATGTTATTTTAAATTCATGGCAAAATATGCTTTGCTGAGCTGTGGCATGCAAATTCTGCAGAGCTTAGCCTGCTCAGCTGTGGAAGTCAGTGGCTCTGCTTATAGGGTAAGGCCCCACAAACCCACCAGTATGAACAGAGGAGGCAACATTGCCTGTGGCCAAAACATGGGTTGTATTTTGCACTGTAACTAATCCACAAAAATAAGAGGACATTGTAAAATTTGATTAGGCAGCAAGGTGAAGGAAACATTTTTTTGATTAAATAGCCCATTAAGGGTATTGTGCAAGTATTAATTCAATTGCAAAGACAGATCATAGGAAAATTTATATTCATTATTTTGGAACAAAAGTGTCTCATCCAAGTGCACTCACTGTTTTAAATCAGTGTTTCGAACATGTATGATCATATTTATAAATCCTTATCCATTTTCTAAGCTACTACTGTTAGCACCCACCTCACCATGCCTGGGTGGCTTCAGAGATGTAATTGGACTTGAATATCAGGGTGGAGCCAGACTTTGAGGTCTGAAGTTTCTACAATTTAGGTGGCTCCTCTTCAGAAAAAGAATGCAAAAACATTGTACTTTAATGCATCTTACAAAATTATACAAGCATGTGGACACATTGCTAGAGCCTCTCCC